GGTGCGTCCCGACACTGGGGTCCCCCCACTCCCCTGGACACCAGGGTTCTCCCTGGACTAGACACCGGGGTCCCCCCACTAACTCCCTTTCTCTTTCTTCCCTCGGCAGCGGATGGAGTTCACTGGGGGGGGCCTGATCCTGTGAATGTGCCCACCCAACAATAAAGGCAATGGCAGGCTGCTGATGTTGTTTTTCGGGGAAATTCTGAGGGTTTGGGGGCTCAGCCCAAGGAGGCATTGGGACAGGTCAGAGCGAAAACTGTTTATTGATGGCATGTGCTGGGAGCAGCAGGTCCTGTACTGGTAGTGCTGGGGCCAGCCCACACTCGGAGCACTGGAGGAGCCCTGAAGCCCACACTGGGAGTGCCCTGGGAGCCTTGGGGCCTGCACTGGGGCCTTGGGGGCCACACTAGGAGTGCAGTGGAGCTGCACTCAGAGCCTTAAGGCCCATACTGGGAGCCTTAGAGCCTGTACTGGGAGCCTTGGGGGCCACACTGGGAGTACACTGGAGCTGTACTTGGAGCCACAGGGCCCATACTGGGAGCCTTAGGGTGCATACTGGGAACACTGGGAGTGCACTGGGAGCCATGGGGCCCATACTGGCGTTGTACTCGGAGAGGTTTAGCCCAGACTGGCACTGTACTGGGAACACTGGGTCCCTACTGGGCACACTGAGGCTCATACTAGGATCTTACCTTACCTGTAGCTTATGCTGGCATTGTACTGGGAGCACTGGTGTCCATACTGGGATCTGACTCACAACTGTGGCTCAGGCTGTCATTGTACTGAGTGCTGGGCCAACACTGGGAGTGTTGGGGCCATACTGGGATCCTACTTGAAGAGCTGTGGCCCAGATTGGCATTGCACTGGGAGCATTGGAGTGTGTACTAGAACACTGGGCCCATACTGGTATCATGCTTGAAGACCTGTGGCTCAGGCTGGCATCAAACTGGGAGCACTAGGTCCATACTGGGATGGTGGTGAGCAAGCCAGGGTGCTGCATGTGCAGTACTGGGCCATACTGGTCTGCTCAGGGACCAGTGGTGTCCCTGTTGCCCACACCAACAGCCCCAGCCCCTCCAGGAACTCCAAGTCTGACCCAAGTCAAGGGTCTGACCCATGGCTGCCCCCCCAGGCACCCCCACTGCTCTGTAACTGCCCCCAATTCCTCCCAGCTGCCCCACAACTGACCCTCAATTGTCCCATCTTCCAGCTGCCCCACACCTGTCCAAGTGACCTATAACTGCCCCCAATTCCTCCCAAGTGCCCTGTGAGTGTCTCCCAGTTTGACCCCCCAGCTGCTCCCCCCATCTCATAACAACCCCCAGATCTACCCCACTGCCTCATTTTTGCTTTTTGGCCCTGTATTGCCTCGGTTTTCCCTGGGTTTGCTGCACTTTTGCCTCCTTTGCCCCATTTTTGCTCTTCTGCCCACTTTTACCCAATTTCCTCCTATTTCTTCTTAGTGTTGCCCCACTTTCTTCTGGCTTTCCCCCCAGTCTTCCACACTTCAGTCCCATTTGCCCTGTTTTGGCCTATTCCACCCCCCCCCCCCCCCTCTTTGCTCCCCCCTGGCTGCTTTCGCCCCATGTTGCCTCGCCTTTTTTTCCCTGGTTTCAACCTGGTTTTGCTTCATTTGTGCCCCGTTTCCTCCCTCCGATTTCCCCAATTTTCTCTATTTCTCGATTTCCTCTCTGTTTTCCATTATTTCCCTCCCTTTCTCCCTGTTTCTTCCATTTTTTTCCTGGTTTTGCTCCATTCCCACTGTTTCTCCCCCTCCCCGCCGTGCCCAACCCATTTTGCCGCATTTTTTCCCATTTCTCCACAATTTTCCTCTTAAGTTTTCTCCACTCCTGTTTTGCCTTGGGTTTTGCCTGTTTCTGCCCTATTTTACCCTGTTTTTTCCCCTATTTGCCTTGATTTTCTCCTAGCTTGTCCTTTCACTTTTTGCCCATTTTTGCCCTGTTTTTCCCTTTTTCATTTTTCCCCATTTTTCCCTTTTCCCTTGTTTTTTTTCCCTTTTTGCTCATTTTTGCCCCTATTTTTCCCCCATTCCCCCATTTTCTCCCAGGCCCCCCACTTTTTCCCATTTACCTGTTTCCCCCAATTTCTCCCACTTTTCCCAGTTTCCTTCTTTTCCTCACTGTTTTTGCCTGTTTTGCTCCCATTTCCCGATCCCCCCCTCTTTCCATTTTTTTTCCATATTGTTTCATTTTCCCCCATTTCCCCCCTTTTCCCCATTTTTCTCTACTTTCTCCCATTTTTGCCCTGCTTCTTCTCCCATTCTTCCCCATTTTCCATTTTCCCTTAGTTCCCCCTCTTTTCCCCCATTCCCCCCATTTTTG